AGGCAAAAAACATCATCGACCTATTAATCATCTAAATTGACACTTGATAGAGACCAAGTTATACGTGTACAGGACTAAATTTGGCACCCTTTTCGAGAGTATATAAATTCTTCATACAAGTAATGTATAAATGTCATAAAATTCAAGTCGAGTTATTACTATTTGGAAATTTTGAAGTTTGCGTTTAGATACTTGGTTGCACAGTTTTACAAGAGAGCGAGAGAGAAACACTTAGTCCTAGTGAACGAGAGAAAATTTCAAATTTCTATCCCTCCAAATTTTGCGGATTGTACACGTTTATATCTAAACTTTTGAGTTTTACGTATACCCCATAAGCTTTCATTTTGTTAAGGTCGTTAGCCGTCCATTGCATTTTCCGTTAACATATGAAATGGACATTGTATATCTAATCCGCGTGGCCCTTTATTTTGCAAAGACTTGTTAGTCCTTTTCAGAGCAAGGACAGGGGTGGAAACCAGCTACCCAAAAACATAATATTGCTCAAATATAATCCCAACCTGTATTAAAAATAACGAATTCGTTGCAAAAAAAAAAAGGCATAAAATTCAAGAAATGCACAAGGAAATGACAGCGATTTTGGAATTGCTGACGTTGTTTTGAGCAATATTTCCTCTCTGTTTTTATGTAGAAATCGTTATATTAAATGTGTGAGCCATTATCAAGAAAGTGATGGCGATTTTGGAGAATATTCTTCCATTCGGTGAAACACGATAAAGGAAAAGACTGGACAAGTTCCCCATGTAAATATAGCATGAAACACGAGTCCAAAACTATTAGAAAATGGTCGAACTGTACATTTAGCATATCTTTTTATAAGGAGGGCGTCACCTTCTCTTTTTACCATTTTTGGGTCTTTTGGCATCAACATTTGTTTTCCGTCTCTGGGGTCCCTTGTTTTCATTGATCGATTCATGGTAACGTAGCTTAGCTACATACATACATGGACCACGTTATTCTAAAACACGAATTAATCCTCCGTTATATTTTCCGAGGCAATTCTTTGGGACAACACTATGTATGTAAGATACAAAAATTACCGAGGCACTTGTGTTTCAAAAAGTTGCAGATAAACATCCCTTATCAATGACATTGATGATTAGATTGGTTTGATTTGCATGTTTGCCCACCTCTTTTTTTATATAAGATATGTTCTATTAATTTTTTTTTTTGAGGATTGATAATGTTCTTATCCTTATTTTAGTACAAATTTAAAAATATTTTAAAAAATGATCTCATAAGAATTATCTCTGATTATGCATTTAATAATAAGAGTCATCTGGTGATATAGGTGTATGACATACGGAAATGTAATATATAAATATATATTTTCTTCCACTATAAACATTATGAAATGATGGTCTATAAGCCTTACGAAATTATGTTTTTCTATTTACTAGAACTTTTTTGTTGATTTCCTAGTATTCATTAATATGTAAAATTGACAAGTAATTTCTTAATAATCCCGTAATATTATTTATTCATCAAATATGAGCTATCATTTTATAAATAGTTCTTTTTAATAATCCTCTAACATCATTTATTTGTGAAAATATTTTTTATATTGTGTATCTATATATTATTCAACTCCCTTTCACAATTATACTAATTGCAAAGGGGTAAGAGTTATCACCGATTATGCATTTAGTCATAAGGGTCATCAAATTTTCATTCATGTTTATTAATCAAATATGCTCAATTATGTAATATGACCCTTTAACGTTATACAATAAGTTATTTTGTAAAGACAGGTTCTTTTGTTTTATCTGATAGCTTTTATTTTATCAATCTCACAATATAAAAAAAATCATGCATAACAAAAATTTTCTATAAATCCTCTAATGCCATGTCTTTATTACATATGAAGTATTATGTCATATAACTTTTTTTTTATCCTCTAACATGCTATATTTACGGAACATGCACTATCATGTTATAAAATCCTTCTAAGATAACTGTTTTCTTCAATAGATTATTGTTTGTGTTAGCAGATACTTTATTATTAATTGTCTAATTTACATTTGCACATAAAATATATGTTATGATCTAATTCAGATAATTTCATATGGCTTGTTTGTTTAATATGGGGCTATCATGTCATGCATTATTTCTTGAAATTTTAATATAATTTATTTGTGAAACAGGGCAAAATATGCTTTTTCAAATGGGTATCATATGTCATTGGTGATAAGAATGATACCGAATGTAGGACTTTATACTCATAAACTAAAAAATAATTGGAATTATGCCATATGTAAGGTTTTGATAATAAGAGTCGTGAAAGAGTCGCGAATAATTATGCATTTAATATAATCCTGCAACATTACCCTCTTTACATATATTTTTTCGTTCCATAGACTTTTCCTAATAGTGGATTTTTTTATTATTATTTGGGGTGGGATTTGTCCGTTTCTAGGTGCATATGTGTTGGAATGGACCAAGTTCAACCAACTTATGTATGGAAAAAAATTGAGACCATCAGGTCAACAACCAAGTCAATAACCTTGGTGACATTCCCTCCTAGCTGCAAAAGTCTTCGGTTCCTTTGGAAAAGCGTGTAATATCCGAATGCCCCACCTTGATGGGACACGAAAGAGGCCACTTAAGTTGATATGAATTATAGTCATCTTTTCCTATTACTTTAAATATTTTATTTAATAGCTTGATTCATATAAATTGGACGGTATCGTTATAAATAGTAATGGAGTACGATCCTCAAGCCCCACGGCTTGGGCTAGTGGTTCATTCCACATAGTTGCCGGAATAAATTATTATATTATCTTGAAAGCTTCGATATGGTAAAATAGTTGTAAAGGGATTTTCAAAAGACAAGATCCAAATCAAGAAAAATACAAAAAAATCTGTCTCAATTCGAAGAAGACCTAAGAGATGTCAATTCTTTAGAGCTCGCGATTCCGCTCGGAAGAGAGTGATGGATCACTTCTTCCAGGTGAGTTAGAGGAAGTTCAAATTTCTACCCAAAAACTTTGAACTGTTATGCATTTATCTCCTGAATTTTCACTTAATTTGTTGCAATCGTGAACCCTCCATTAAATTTTCCGTTTATATGTACAATGCACATTGTACATTTAATATGCATGGCCCTTTATTTGCAAAGACTTATTCATCTTTTTTTAGAGCAAGGCCCTTTGTTTCTAATATGTAAGTCAATCACGCTGAAGTGAAAAGTTAATATTGCTGCATTAGTAAATAATCAATACTTTGCCAAAAAAGCATGAAATTCAAGAAATGCACGGTAAAGTTCAATTTTTTTTTTCAGAAATACTGATGAGTGCTTGGAACTATTGTCACGCCCCGAACCCGAACAAGCATGCAACATCCCTCAGGGGTCGTCAAGCATGCGACATCTCAGGACTTGTCGCCGACCCAATCGAAACACTAACGAGCAACGCATGCGGAAGCAACCTCGAACTCTCCATACAACATATAAATAACGGGATAGTGGAGAGACAAAGAATACACATTAACAAGACACTTTTATAAACATAACATCGATTACAACACATACATTTGCAAGCCTTCTACAAGGCCACAATCTACGAACCACGCACAACAAAAAGGATCGGGTGATTGATAAGCTTAACTCCTCTACAAAAGGGGCACTCAAAGGATGGGGTAACTCGACCTATCCTTAATCCCCGTAGTATCCTGGCAGCGTCTCCGGATCAATTACGGTTGCTGGTCTGAAATGGTTTGGTTATACAACCATGAGAACACTTCTCAAAAAGCAGCTACCTAAGCCTCGCTTAGGTCAAAGCGTACCTCCGAACAATTTTAAACATGCGATTCAAACAATCGATGTGCCATAAACAATCACAGGTTTCCTTACCTCGCCTTGGCGCATACACAAGCCCTGCACGTTAGAATATCGCCATAACATAGCCAATAGCCCATCAAGCATGCGCAAAGCAATTCATGGCATGATCAAGCATAACATGGTTAATAATCCAGACGTGCTTATCAATTAACTCAGGCAAAGCATTCCCCAATGCAAATCGCACTAATTAAGTCCAGATTATTAACAACCCCTCGGGCCACCGAACTCCCGCCGGTCTTCTAGCGTAACCAGGTATCGTCTCGCTACTTCGGCGACGGCAATGTCCGGAACCCTCGCCCAGACGGCATTCCACAAAGGAGCATCGATCCGGCCTCCACCGCGATCGGCAACGTCTAGAACCCCCGCCTAGACGGCATCCGAACCCCCGTCGGGCATTGTCCACTACAAAAAAGTTGGTTTTAGCGACGAATTTTGCCACGAAAAATTTGGCAAAATTCGTTGCTAAACTAATTTGCGACGAAATTAGCGATGGAAAAAAATTCGTCGCTAATAGGCCGTCGCAAAATTTTGCGACGGAAAATTTCATTTTTCGTCGCAAATTTGCGACGAAAAAAAATTCGTCGCTAATTATTCGTGGCTAATTTGCCACGAAACAAAATTCGTCGCAAAATTCGTCGCTAATTATTCGTGGCAAAATTCGTGACTAATTTGCCACGAATTGTATTCGTGGCAAAATTCGTCGCTAATTTGCCACGAACTTTATTCGTGGCAAAATTCGTCGCTAAATATTCGTGGCAAAATTCGTCGCTAATTTGCCACGAACTGTATTCGTGGCAAAATTCGTCGCTATTTTTTTTAAAACTTTTTTTTGTTGGTCGCGAAATTGCGACGAAATATTTTCGTGGCAAAAATCGTTCTTAATTATTCGTGGCAAAATTTATCGCTAATTTGCGACGAACACATTTCGTGGCAAAATTCATGGCTAATTTGTCACCAATTTTTTTTTTGTCAGTTTTTTGCAACGAACTTATTCGTGGCAAAATTCGTGGGTAATTTAAATTACCCACCAAAATGAATGTATTTCATTTTCTTATTCGATTTTAAATGTAATTTAAAGCAAAATTAATTTCTAGAATTTGTATTTAACATTGATTAAGCACTTAATAACATCAAAATATTATAATAATATGAAAATGAAATATATTCAGCTACATTTTCCATGTACTTGAACATATAGCTCAATGTCATCAAACTATTATAATAATATGAAAATGAATACATTCATCTACATTTTTCATGTACTTGAACATTAGCTCAATGTACTTAAACATCCTTGGCAAATCTCCCCCTCCGCATATCAACACATAGCTCAATGTACTTGAACATAATCCTCTCAAGGGTATTTTGCCATGCTCGGGATCTCTTCGAGGTAATAAGATCGTGAAGTTCTTGCAGAGCATCTTGCTTCTTCTAGGATCCATGCAGAGCATTTTCTGGAATCCAGCAATTGCATCAGTGATAAGAATGCTGGATTGGCAATTTAATATCACTTCATACATTTCATTACATTGGTTCAGGGCACCAAAGGAGACATGATCTCGACCCTCATCTACAATTTTCAGTAGAGGATGGTCCATTACCAAGGATTGGCCACAAAGCACTACAATTATTAATTTGCGGTCAGGTCTTTTATGGCAACAAAGCACTACATTATCAACCCCCAAATCCATCATTTCCTAAGTCTTGCACAGTAGGCACATTGGCCACAGAGGATAGAAAAGAATCAGAGACAACGAATCATAATATAACAGATAATTTGCAACTTATGATGGGAGAGTATTGTAACATGGTAGCAGCCAACACCCCTTACCCCTCCTCCAAACGTCATAAAAAAACCAAAAGCAGAAAGACACATGAGCACCCATGTATTTCCAACACCCAGAGGGAGAAAAATGAAGACAAACGCAGATACCCAGGGAGGCAGAAGAGCATTGCCCATAGCAGGTGGTAGAATTACCTTTCCAACACCTGCGGAAGGTTCTCCATCTGGTCTGGGACGAGGTATGGCCACATTCACCAAATTACCTGCAAAACAAGTATCATTAGAACGAAGAAAAGAGCTTAGATTTTGAAATCTAGGTGAAGATATAAGGCTTTGGAAACTTCTTTCTGAATGTTAGGCCCGATTCTTTAAGCAGAATGTGGAACAAGAAAAGGCTGTAAAATAGAGATACAGCACAAAGAAAGAACAAAAATATTAATATACTTTTGGCGAGTCAAAAACCTCAAAATAAGAGCAAAAATTAACAAGAACTATATAGACAGTTCTTACCAAATTTTCCGCCTTCTTGTCTCATATCCTCCAATATATCTTCATACTCCCCATCATCTTTAAGCTCATCCTCAGTAACTACTTGTGTTAGACATACCACTTTAGTAGCAAGTGCACCAAGTTGATACATAAGCTTCTGCAAAAGTTAAAAAGCCTTGGTAATTTAGACTTGAGGACATAATCGTAACAAGACAAATTAAAAAGAAGAAACCAATGTCACACATTCAATGAACCACATCTCAGTTAAAGTTCCAACTCACAGATGCAAAATAAAATAAAAGCGGAGATGACGCTGAAAAAAACTACTATGAATATACTCGAGAATATGTCAACAATGCTGCTATAATTCACGGAACTGAAATTGCAAGAATTAGCCAAAAAATTGAAATTGTAGAAAAACTTGACCATGCAAAAGGACTCCTCAACGATGAATGTAAAAACCTTTCACCTGCAGAGCTATCTGCTGCTGTGCATGCAACAAAACACTCTCCTGTTCAGGTTTTGGTTGGTTTGCACCTTGGTTAGCACGCCTAACAGTGAGAGTCTTGTCGCCCATTTTAATGCCATCGAGAGCTGCACAAGCTATATCCGTGACTGAGAGATCTTGATAAATGCAAAAAGCATAGCCTTTGGAATTTCCAGTCTCCCTGTCTTTCACTAGATCAAAACCCCTAAGAGGACCAAAAGATTCCAGCAGCTCCCTCACTTGCACTTCTGTAAAGTAATATGGTAATCCACCCACAAAAATGCGGTCAGGACCTTCAAGCCCACCAGCAGAACCCGGGGTTAAACCAACCGCACCAAGATTTAGGTTAGGATTAGGTTGGCTAGGACCAAGAGTTGCTGCAAGGGAGGGGTTGTAATCACTGGACCTCCTCACCTTCACAGGCGCTCCCTGCACAAAAATTCAAACTAGTTAACGTTTTGTCAATGTTGTAGATATATGAATGTCCTCGAAAAAAGGGGGCAGATCCACCGCAAGAAAAAATGTAGAATTATGTTAAAAATGTAATTGAACTTACCTCAAAGATAATGCCATCTAAGGCCATTGCATTGCTTGCCTCCTCAACAGATCTCATTTCCACAAAAGCAAACTTCTTTTCATGGTTTATGTAAACATTGACAACAGCATCCCCTGTGCACATAAAAACAAAAGATGAAAATCAATACCATAATAGAAATGTGAACTAAAATAGTTATTAACTCAAGGGCTTAAAATTAAAGTCCTCCTACCTGGACCTGCAGTATTTCCTCCAATAGCAGCCATAACCTGGCTAAAAAAGGTCGCAAGCATCTATCCAACGAAAGCTTCACAAAAATTAACACATGAAGCACTACCTTCTGCAAGTGAAGTCTGAGTGTTCTTGAGCATCTATCCAACGATTGCTTTGTCCTCTCCATTTTCTTCCTTTTCCCCAGAAAAAAAAATAAAGGAAGAACACCCAAGAAAGAACTCACGCCGATTCGAGCCTCGGCCCGCTATTCACAACAGCATAAAAAAAGGTCCAAAATTGCACGTCTATTCTCAAATTGGAGAACTGGGTCATTCATCAAACACTTGCAAAGCACCCTATCCTGACCCATTTACCCTATAAACTCACAAACATCATCTCCATTTCTCGATCAAGACTATACCCAATTCTAACGAAACAAGAGCAACGACAACCATTACAATAATCCGACGATATATCTATCAGTTGACACACGAACATACTCGAGAACTTCAATAAGAAGGTCACAAAATCAGAGTAGACGGAACGTACAAATCTCGGAATGGGACCGACGGAACGTATTAATCTCGGAATGGGAACGTACCAATCTCGGAATGGCTGGAAACTATTGAGGCCCTCCTCCCACAGGTAGCCGTCCCTCTCGACGGTGGTGATGTTGCCGCCGACGCGGTCCCTGGCCTCGGTGACGACCACGTCGGGGGCCCTGTCGCGGTGCTTCGTGGTGAGCGTCTAGGCGATGCAAAGCCCGCTGATCCCGCCCCCGACCACCACGCAATCAACCAGTCCCCCGCCGGCGGCCCTCGGCTGGGAGATCGCGGGGCCCTCGGCGACGGAGCACCTGATCCCGGCGGGCGCGCGGGAGGGCTTGTGGGAGCGGAACGGGCGGATGGCGACGGAGGAGGAGGCGACGGCGGCAGTGGCTGTGAGGGTGGCCATCATGGCTGGTGGAGGGGAGGAGGAAGCGACGGAGAGGTGTTTGGCGGAAGGGGGATCCGAGGAATAACAGAGAGAGAGAGAGAAAAATTGGGGTGAGGGCGGGCAAATTTGAGAGAGGGCGGGGAGCAAAATTAGGGAATTTTGCCACGGACAGAAGAGTTCGTCGCTAAACAAAGCCACGGACATAAAAAAAATGAATTGCGGGCATTTTTATGAAATTCGTGGCTAAAATCCGTTGCAAATTTGCCACGGATTTTAGCCACGAATTTCATAAAAATGCCCACAATTCATTTTTTTTATGAAATTCGTGGCTAAAATAAAAAATTCCATACACATGCCTACGTCCATTTTTTATGAAATTCGTTGCTAAAATCTGTGACAAATTTGCCACGGATTTTAGCCACGAATTTCATAAAAATGCCCACAATTCATTTTTTTTATGAAATTCGTGGCTAAAATCCGTGGCAAAAATGCCCACAATTCATTTTTTTTTATGAAATTCGTGTCTAAAATCCGTGGCAAAAATTGCCACGGATTTTAGCCACGAATTTCATAAAAATGCCCACAATTCATTTTTTTTATGAAATTCGTGGCTAAAATCCGTAGCAAAAATGCCCACAATTCATTTTTTTTATGAAATTCGTGGCTAAAATCCGTGGCAAATTTGCCACGGATTTTAGCCACGAATTTCAAAAAAATGCCCATACACCTACGTCCATTTTGCCACGGATTTTAGCCACGAATTTCATAAAAATGCCCACAATTCATTTTTTTTATGAAATTCGTTCTAAAATCCGTGCAAAAATGCCTACAATTCATTTTTTTTTATGAAATTCGTGGCTAAAATCCGTGGCAAAAATGCCCATAATTCATTTTTTTTATGAAATTCGTGGCTAAAATCCGTGGCAAATTTGCCACGAATTTTTAAAAAATGCCATACACATGCCTACGTCCATTTTTTTATGAAATTCGTGGCTAAAATCCGTGGCAAATTTGCCACGGATTTTAGCCACGAATTTCATAAAAATGCCCACAATTCATTTTTTTTATGAAATTTGTGGCTAAAATCCATGGCAAATTTGCCACGGATTTTAGCCACGAATTTCATAAAAAATGCCCGCAATTCATTTTTTTTTCAAATGTTAAATCCGTGCAAATTTGCCATGAATTTCATTTCTACTAGCCCACACACGCCTAATTCATTTTTTTTCTCGACAATAACGTGTCAGTAACAATAATAGCAATAATAATAATCAACAATAACAACAACAATAATAATAATAACAATAACAACAACAATAATAATAATAACAATAACAACAACAATAACAACAATACTAATAAATATGACAACAACAATAAACTCTTGTCATAATAATAATTACGACATAATTAGTAAAAAGTCTCAAAAATCTAAATCGTCAACTTCACCTTCGTCTTCATCTTGATCTTCATCTTCTTCTTGAACATCATCGTCGTCATCGTCATCGTCATCATATTCTTCAGTTTGAACCGTGTTACAAACTTCCTCTTGTTGATATGCTGTATCCTTCCAATGTTCCTCGATTTTTCTTCGTGCTTTGATTTTAGATACAGCCAATCAATCAGTTTTGTCACGTTTCAAACTAGGATATGATGCATAATATACTTGAATTGCTTGTTGTGCCAACACAAATGGTTCATATTTCATATACCTTTTCTTGTAATTTATTTCAACTAAATTAAACTTCGTATGCACCTTCATTCCTTTGACGGGGTCGAACCACATGCACTTAAATAACACAACCCGCATTAATGGTCCGGGGTACTCTATCTCCATGATTTCATCCAACAAGCCATAAAAATCATCTTTTGAACTGCAACCATTGGATGACCGAACACACACACCACTATTCATTGTGGCTTTTCCCATTCAATATTCTTGAGTGTGAAAATTATACCCGTTTATGAAATATGCTGGCCAAGTTCGTACTCTTGACTTTAGACCCCATGACAGATAATATAGCAATCTTTGCTCTTCAACTTGATCATGATTACTGTGAACCTAAGGTCACACACGCAAAGTCAATAATATATATTTAAATGATGTATAAAATATTAATAACTTGATTTTAGTCCATAGGCAACTTACATATGTTTTGAACCATGCTGCAAATTGTTCATCGCACAAACGGTCCAACTCATTTGGTGGTAGTTCATACATTGAAGTTTGAAAAATCCTATTAACAATTTACATTTATATATTAGTAAATATTTGACACGCAATACATATATTAGCGACGAATTTATTTTTCATTGCAAATTACGTCGCAAAATTAGCGACGAAAAAAAATAAGTCACTAACTTCGTCGCAAATTAGCAACGAATACTTTTTCGTCGCAAATTCCGTTGCAAATTAGCGACGAATTTTTTTCGTGGCAAATTCTGTCGCAAATTAGCGACGACATTTTTTTCCATCGCAAATTAGCAACGGAAAAAAAATTCGTCGATAATTTCGTCGCAAATTTGCGACGAATTTTTTTTCGTGGCAAATTCCGTCGCAAATTAGCGACGACTTTTTTTTTCGTCGCAAATTAGCAACGGAAAAAAAATTCGTCGCTAATTTCGTCGCAAATTAGCCACGAATTTTTTTTGTGGCAAATTCCGTCGCAAATTAGCCATGGATTTTTTTCCGTCGCAAAATTCGTCCCAAATTTGCGACGAATTTTTTTTTCGTCGGAAATTAGCGACGAAAAAAAAATTCGTTGCAAATTCCGTCGCTAATTTCCGTGGCTAAATCCTTGTTTTTTTGTAGTGGTCTAGAACCCCCGCCTAGACGGAACGTGTCGTGACCATGCACACACCTCAACAATCATTACCAATTCTTATCTTTGTAAATTAGCCCAATGTCAACTAAACCCGTTAAAACGCCACGATAACACCGAATAATTCTTGAGAGAGAGAAAAATCGAGAATATACAAAATCAGGTCCAAACTAGGCAGTTGTGCAGTGACAGAAATCCGTTTGAAATAAATAATAAACCAATTCCAAAAATTATGAAATTTGGATATGTTGTACAAAACATTTTGATGAACATTTTTCATGAAGAACACAAAATCCAGTTCTGTCTAGAACTACCTCTTTTTGTCATCCAAAGTCGGACATAAAATATTTCATTCGGACTGGCCATCCGGCTTTCAAAATGCATTTCAAACAGTAACCAAATCTTCTTAGAAAGATTTGAAATTTTTATATGTCATAGCCACAAATGTATCCAACAAGTTTTGTGAAGGGAGTATTTTGAAAATAGGTCTGGAAAAATTTATAAAAATTCGAATAGACCCGAAGGTCGGAGGAACAGTGTTTCCGACAGACTAATTTCGATCCAAAGATGGACTTCCGAATGGTTTCAAATGATTTTAAAAAATTCCCAAATTAAATCATGTTATACTTTAAGATGTTAGGAGAAACTTTCATGAAGAACATTTCTCCAAGTTCGGCTCACAAAAGTCACAAAAAAATAGTAAAAACCAGCGATGCAGTAGCAACCTTACCGGAAATCAACCAACAAGCACCACCAAGCAAACCAAGCACAACCAGCCACTAAACCAACTATCCACAGCCCTTAAACCATCCCTAACATGTCCATTAGTCACCCCTTAGCCTAGTCAAGGGTTAGGAAGCCACTTACTAAGAATGCCTGAGCAAGAAACCGAACAAAGCCAAGCCAAGCCAAGCAAGCAGCAGCTGCTCCGGCGGTCGGACGGGTGGCTCGGTGATTTCCGGCGACTTGGACGACGGTGAGCGGTTGCCGGACGGCTGAGGTGATTGGCTGGTGGAGGTGGACGAAGCTGCTGGTCGGGCGTGCAGCAAGAAGAAGCCAAGAAGCAGAACAAGAAGCAGCAAAGCAGCAGCAGTAGTAGCGAAGCAGCAGCAGCCTTAGCGGACGGGCGGCGGCTCACGACGGAGTCGGGCGGAGATGGGGGCTGAACGGGGACGGGATGGTGGCTAGTTCTAGTGGAAAATGGGCTGGCGTGGTGCTGTAATGGAGAAGTTGCAGCAAAAACAAAAGCAGAAATGAAGAAGAAGAAGCAGCACGTGAGGGCAGCTTGAGGAGTCAGCCAAGCAGAGGTTACGTGGGATCATCATTGGGAGGAATGGGCGGAAGTCAGCAAGGTCAGCAAAGCCAGAAGTCAGCAGTAGCATGGGTGGACGTAGGGGTGCAGCGGAAAAGAAGGAAAGGAAGTCAGCAAGCAGAACAGAAGCAGCAACGTGGGGCTGCTCGGCAGGGAA